GAGAAGATGCTTGTTTTTTCTGCAACAATCCTTGAACAGAGAGAAACGTCTAGGCCAAGGAGGACTATTGAAGCTTTATGAAAATCTGAGCCTCTCCTCTCCCTGCTTGTTTGAAGGAGTTTAGCTATTCTGCAAAAAACCAGCACAGGGATGGCAGCTCCTTTTCTTGGGATGGAATTTGGATAATGGCCCCTTTAATGTTGGTCTCATTCACACATCAGAACATACCATACCAGCTGGTGGTGTAGTTAGATATTTGGCAGCTGTTTTGCTTTGTAAATTTACCCTAGTTTAAAGCTTAATTGTTTTATTAACTATGTTAAGCAAGCTCTGATGTAATGTAAAGTAAGTACCCTGTCAAAAAGTCAGGCCATAAGAACATGACTACTTGAACAGCTTTCTCCACTGAGTCCTTTAGCACTATGGAAGGAACCGCTTAAATACTTATAATTCAGAAATGCACAGTGAATATTAGATTTGTTTTCCCTTCCCACATTCCTTCTGTTGTTCGCAGAGGTATTTCCCATCACTAAGTAGTTGACATCTATGAGTAAGAACTATATACAAACAAAACTCATAACAAAACATTCTGAACTAACTCACTCATCCTAGCTGTGTAACTAATTGCGGTTATTTGTCCCCACTACTTACGTCTAAAAAAGAGGTAAAATTTATCCTTCTAAGAGAGATATTTCGTTCATGCGTAAGCTATAGTTGTAATGCTGTCACATTAATATTATGGCTTAGATTTATCTGCCTTTATTCTTCTTAAAAACTCATGATGGTGTGCCTATTCCTCCCTTTTATCCTCACAACTCCGTGAACTAGGCTACTTTGAAATATACTAATGGAGCCCAATTTGCCACACGGTTGAACTGAACCTTGAACACAAGTTTCCTCAATACGCAGTCCACTATATCAGTTTCAACAAGTATAGTTTTTGCCTGGATGAAAATGCAGTTTGGGAAGAATCATATTGTTATCTGTTTAGATGTTACACAAATACACATGATGGTAGACAGTGATTCCAATCAACTTTGGAATAATTACAAATCCAGTAATACTGGAGCATACCCAAACTAGCCATGCTTTATTTCAGTGAGTTAAAAGCAACCCAAGCAACGTGGTTAGTTTATGCTTCAGTATTGTACAGTCACAATGTTGTTGACTGGTTAAGTAACCCTTGAAAAGCTTGCCTTGCAAAGAGAGCTGCTGATAGTAAGAACATCACTAAAATGGATCCTCGGGCAGGTAAGTTCTTCCTCATTATAGATTTACAAGCAAAGTCTGGATAATCACTTCCTGCTTCCGACAGAGCATTAAATATTACATTGTATCTCTGCATAGCTCTTCCAATTCATACTCTGTGCATACTCTGTGCAGAATGCGGACTTTATAGCATAAAAGCTATATCAACTATCAGGAATTCTGATGTGAAAGCTTTGCTTTAAGATACTGTATTGGAAGAAACTAATTGTGTTTCCTCTTGGACATATGACTGTACCTTTAAGACAGGGTGAAATAGATTCATTTTTCAAATATTAGACACTTAATTTCCATCAGCCCCATAATAATGATTAGATTGATTGGGTATTGTGGTTTAGTACTATCTGAAAAGTTCTCTACCTTTAAGAGCTGCATAACATTCAAGGATGTTGAGTATTTCCCATCTCTTCATCTCCATGGCAAGAACAATTTCACCTACTATTGCTCTAAATGTTAAAGTCACAAGATAGTCCAGAGCTAAAATTTAGTTTAGATTGAATTGCTCAATTCTATAATTATTTGATTGTATACCTGGAGTTAGACTTCTTTTCTTTTAGACACCAGTGTTACTAGTCTGACTTAACGATATTAAATCTCAGGAAATCAATAAAATAAATTTTGAACAGCAGCTAAGATACAGGAAATCTGTGTTCCTAGAAGGAGCAGGAGATCGATGCACTGCTATCCAGTGGGAGGGGTCACTAATACAGGGATGATCAATTTTTGGTCTAATTTAAAAAATATATATATTAAGAAAGGTTTAGTGGCTATTTGTTCTGTTTTCATAACCTAATGTTAGGGAGAGGGAAAAGAGCAGATCCAAAAAAACAAAACCAGAATTGATATCTCACTGTTTCCTTCAGACTTGTTCACAAAGTGATCTGAAACTGATGCCCTCAGTGGGAAGAAAAAATTGCCCTCCCTTGAATCAAGTGTAATAAATAGCCCACTTGTTTATTAGTTAAAGAATAATACATGGGCCTCTGTATAAAGTTGAATTCCAGTGTTCACAGTCCAAAATGGTGCTGGCAAGTCTGAAAAGAAGAGGAGCTCAACGCTGGAAGGCTCTATGTTGTCTACTGCCCCTGTAGTTTAAAACACAGCAATGGGTTTTTCCTTTAATGTGTTAAGTATTGTATACTCTGCTGGAAGGCTGATCAAGAGAAGGGCAAAATAATAAGGCTGCACACCAGCAGATGCTACTCCATTAGGTGTTCCTTATTTATTTGTGGGGCTGCATTTATTGCATTCTTGCAGGGGAATGAGGGTTTCACTCAGGGGTGTCAAACTGAAGGCCCACAGGCTGAATCTGGCCCGCAGGGTGCTTAGATCTAGCCTGCGGGGCTGCGTTGGAAACAGCGAAGGACCAGCCTGCGGTGCCTCTGCCAGCAAAAGCTCCCTTTTCACTGGCAGAGCACTTGGGCCACCACAGATGCCCCCAACATGAGTGACGAGCTGGCCACACCCACCCCGGGCCCCCAAGGTCAAACACAACTGTGATGCGGCCCTCAATGAAATCGAGTTTTACACAGCTGGTTTAGAACATCCTTTGCCAACATATCAGGGGATTATAGTAGTTGTAATCCAAAATCTCTGACTGACTGTTAGTCACCCACAAAAAGCTGTGCAGTACCATATACCCTGTTTCCCCAATTGGGCTTTTGAGCGCATGGAAATAAGGCCAAGCACTTATTCCAGGGTTCAAAAAAATATAAGACAGGGTCTTATTTTCGGGGAAACATAGTAGTGACAAAAATTCATCATTCTGGTAAACATTTCACATGCTACAAGAAATACTATGTATCAGACCTGCAACTGAATGCCAACAAGGCTTTCCAATAGGGTAAATTCTACATTTTTAATGCTACCTGAATATCCCAGTGTACATGAGAACTGGAAACCATATATCCACTACTATTAATCAATCTTCTACTTTGGATATCAGGGTTGTTGGTCTGATTTAGTCATAAAGTTACTTAATGCTCTAAAAGAAGATAATTAAAATCTGAGAAAAAAATAAAAGTAAATCCCTGAGAACTACATACAGAGATTGGGGGCAGGGAGTGTAAAAGCTCTTTAGATACAAAATGCCCCAAATATCATAATTTTGAATAAGTGTCTTGGGCCTCTTAAGGGCCTCTTGACCTACTACTAATTAAAAGTGAAACTTCAAACTGGAAGATCTTTGCAGTGCTGTTGAAATTGGCACAGTATTGACAGGTCACTTGTAATAGTTGGAATGAAGGTGGAGAGACATAATTGGGCTACATAGCCTAGGAAACAGAAATGAAGCAGAATGACTTTCAGGTAGTCCTCTTTTAGTGATCATTCCTTCAGCAACCGTTTGAACTTGCAATGATGCTGAACAAGCGGTAGTTACTGTTTGACTACTTTTGACCATCCCTGCATCCTGGAGTCACATGACCTATCTGTCAGATTCCCACAACAGTCAGTGGAAAAGCTGACAGGAAGTAGGAAGTCATGGTGATGTGAGGTCATTGATTAATGAATGGCACAATCATGGTTTTTCAACTTACGATTGCATTGCTTAACAGAGTTTCCGATCCCAATTACTGTAGTATAATTAGGACTGCCTATACCTGTTTCTGCCAATCTAATGTTTTCTTCATTGCTATTTCTTCACCGCTAATAGTTTTGCAGCAACCAAAACAACATACATCTATGTAGACATCACCAGATAGAGTTACAGAAATCAAATTGACTACAGGTAGTCTTGACTTACAACCATTTGAAGTTATGATAGCACTGAGAAAATCGACTAACACTTATTGCACTTATGACCGTTGCACCATCTCCATGGTCACATGATTAAATGGCAACCAACATATACTTATGACAATTGTAGCACCCCAGAGTCACATGATCACCATTTACAACCTTCTCGGGGGGGGGGGGGTCCAAAAAAAAAAAAAGGGGGGGGAAACGGGATTTACTTAACAGTTGTGTTGATTTTCTTAACTAGTATGGCAGAAAAATGTCACAAAATTGGGCGTAACTTACTTAACAAAATCACATTGCTTAGTGACAGACGTTCCAGTCCCAATTTTGGTTATAAGTCAGGACTACCTTTATACTATAGTCACAAGGAGGTAGAAAATCTCAATTACAACAGCAAAGAGCCAGGAGATAACTGTGGAACAGATCATGTGCATGTGCCAAATGAAAGAACTAAAGCAGAAAAACAAAGCCACACAGTTCCTAGCGGTACAGTCTTGACCCATCATTTTGAAGGAAAACATCAGCCTTCACTTTGAAATTCTGAGCCTCATTAATAGGAACCAGAGGAATTGTAGAATGAAATAAAGAAGCTGGTAAAAATGAATGTGAAAAGAGACTGTCAAAGGTTAAGAAATGGAAGAAAACGAACTGGATGCCTGACAGAACAGAGAAAATTGCCAAGAAAGCTGCCATTGATGCCACAATGACTTAATTGATCTACACTAAAGTACAGCATGTGACGGTAGTCACCTGAAAGCATGGATAGATCAAAATACCCCAATCTGGGGCCTTTAGTGTGAATTTTTAAAAAATCCCTCTACTCCTTCTCCTACACACACACACAATGCAAGGTACAGTGAAACCTGGTGGAAAATCCTAATTCCCTGGTTAGACAAGAATTCTAGTTCATACAGTGTGGACAGATTCACTTTTTTGAGAAATACTGACAGAATGATCAATTGTCCTACCACATTTTGAATAAAGTGACTGGAACCTTTTTCTACTTAGTCTACTGGTTTATTGAGGCTAGGATAGTGCTGACTTTGTATACAAGGCTGTCTCTGGGGCAGACATGAAGAAGAGGACAGTAAGGTCCTGCATCAGTGCAGAATAGGTTAGTGTGTACTATGAACTCTTTTAAAACAGGTGATTTCTCCATTCTTGAAAGGGTTGCAAGTGGGCCTTTCCACAGCATCTTTCGCATTCAGAACAGCAGCCTTTCTAGTCGTGGTAGATCAGGGGAGTCAATGGCACCCTTGATAACTGTTCAGCAGAGAAGAGATAGCTATTGGTGATGCCTTGTTCATAAGTTCTTACAAGACAGCGCTGGAGCAAGCAGATGATAGACACCAGCTCCCACCTCCAGTGTTCAGCTATTTCACCAATTAATACTAAAAGAAAATCACAACTTTTGGTCTTGGGAAAAGGTAGTGGAAGAACTGCTGTTGGTCTACCACTAGGATGATTGAACTTAGCATGGAGTGCCAATGGCCCCTACAGGGGGAGGTGACTCTCGGGTCTTGTCAAAGAAAATATTTGAGGACATCTCGGTTTTGATTTTGCTTTCAGAACCACCATCACTGGAAGTAGTTTCTTGACCACATTCATCACAGCAGCAGCAGCAGCAGTCCATGAAGGCCTGCCCCAGGGGTTTGCAAAGGCATAGTAGAAGCACGGGAGTAACCGAACATTTGAAGAACAGGAAGAACTGGTTGACCAAGCTTAATAGGTCCAGGGTCTGTTTTGTCATGTCAGGAGACAGATAGGCCACAACAATATTACTGACATTTTCAGGAATGGTGCAGAGACCATAGATTACTGTCAGGCCAATCACTGTGCAGTTGAGTTGGCTCTCACACTGCCCATGCTTATTGCCACGGCATTCAGTCTTCTCTGTGCTGCTGATCCTTCTGGTGACCAGCTGGCAGCTGACGGTAAAGAGGATCGGCAGGCAGAAGTAGCATCCAAAATACCACCACATCCTAGCGTTCTGATAAGTGAGAACCAGAGAATAAATGGACTCGGGCAGCTCCTGAAAAGGTTTCATTGTGCAGTAGTCAGACACTACACCAGAGACTAGTGAGGTATCCTGTGCCAGCTGCCAAAGAAGGAGTTCTGGGATTGAAAGGGTCATGGAACCCACCCAAATGACAGCCAGCTTGGCAATGATGGAATGGCAGTGTTCAATCGGGCGGAGCTTGGCTTGAGGGCTGGTAGCCGCATGGAATCTGTCAATACCCAAGGCACAGAGGCTGAAGGTGGTGATTCCCAGAGAAGTCACCTAGGAGCATAACAAAGAGAAGTGGTTGAACTGAGATTGCCAAAGAGAGAAATAAAACATTCACCTCTCCTTAATTTTTAAGTTAGTGAGGAAATACAAACGTTTTTTTAATTTTGTGCAAAAGGATTTCAAAGAAAAAATAAACCCTGTCTCTAGCACAGAAAATTCATTTACCAACCAGAATAATGCAGATCCCAAATTATGCCAAAATAAAATGGGATGTACAAAACAGGGAAAGTCATTCCAGTCCCCAGCACTTTTTAAATGCTTTAAGAGCAACTATACACGTTTGTGCAATAATTCTCCAGAATAGAGATAGCAGCATGGGGGATGGCAAATACCCCCAAATGAAAAGATGCATATTTAAATATTAGAATATTTGTTATGAGAATTATGAGAATTGTTATGAGAATAATGATCCTATTTAATTCTGTAACCTGAACAGAATAAGTCACATTTGGGGGATCAGCTCTACTAAGGAATGTGTGTGACTTTCTGATATATCAGCTTTTATTCTTGAGCATTTCCATGTGGAGTTGATGCTGAAGTTGTATCATACACCATGTTTCCCAAAACATGGGAAACATGTTCTCTACAAACATCATCATCCCATACTGATGTTTGTAACTACAAACATCAGTATGGGAGCTGCAACTTAGTAAAGATTGTTTTGTACAATTTTAAAACAAGTATATTGACTTTCCTTAACCATGAGGATATGAAAAAAAAGTTTCTAACTCTCTGTTTACTATCTTTCCTTAGCTACTTCGCAGTTCTTTGCAATGTATGAGGATACTTTGGATCCAACATCGTTTAACAAAACCAAATGTATGGACATTGATATGTGGTTGATTTTCTAATTCTTTATTTGATATTAAATTATTAAATATCCATTTAAATAACACTCTTGCTTCCCTGCTCCATTTATTCCAATTGGTTTCCCTTCTTTTATATTTCTATTCTTATATTCAAACTGAGCAGAAGGAGACTTAGATCCTTGGTGGACCTTTGAATAATTGGCAGTAGGTCATGAAAGTTACTAACTCCTAACGATAAAACAATGCTAACAGCAGAAAACCCATTCTCCACCTCAATTAGAGTCCTAAAATCAAGGGTGGGCTTGTAAAGAAAGAGAAGCATGTGAGAATTTCACTGTGAAAATAGGAACCATTTTGGGAGCTGGTACATTTTCAGATTGCTTTATACTCATTTCAGTTTCTACATCCCATAACTCCTGTTTGCAGCTGCCTTCATTTGGTTCACATGAAAATAGATCTTGCAGACTTAAAAACAATTTTGGCACTGTCAGCACTATTTGTACTTCTATTTTAATTTTAATCAACAAATGCAGAAGGGATGCACGTCTTATTCTTTACAAACATTCAATTTTAAAAACTATAATGTGAACATGGAACTAATTTCTGCTGACTATGACATCACTCTTTGTCTTTCTTCAGTATCCCTGTCTCAGCAGGTGCCAGCACATGGCTCAGAAGCTAAGCAGTTTCAAGCCTGGTTCGTTCTTGGATGGGAATCCACTTGTCAATAGAAAGTTTTAAAAAATCTCAGGAGAAAGCAATGGCAAACAGTTCCATATTACTGTCAAGAAAACTTCATAGATATATCCATGTGGTTGTTAGGAGTTGAACTGACTCAAAGACAGTCCCTAAATAATTACAGGATAAATACTATGTTACTGTACAGTGACACAAAAATAAAGAGAATTGGAACATCTTTACTGACAAATATAATTAAAAAGGAGTAATATTCTCCCTCCCTCTCTTCCCAAGAATTATACATATAGTTGAATACATTGTAGAAGGACAAAGTCAAATTGAAAATGCACCCTTGCTTTAAAAACTTTTGGCCATCTGTGTAAATATTGTAGAAAATATATATGGAAGTGAAAGAATAGATTAGAATTTTTCCCTTATAGTTTTTATGTTATTTTCTACTTCTAAAAAAAAAATAATTCTACCAAAATGGATGTGTTTTTTAAAAGCTTTTTATCTCCCATCCCTTTATTCTGTTCCTTGTATATCATGCTTCCCTGATCTACAAGCTTCTTTTTACAGAGGGCAATTAATAAGGTAAAACCAATGGGAGAAACAGCTTAGAAGATCAGGAGAGATTCTTAGGTCATTACTTTGTGCTCCTTAAGCAACCTTTGGTCCTCTCCAAAAAAATCACTGTGTCAATGCATCTACTTTCTGAGCATCAGATGAGTTAAGTAAGTTTGTTGATGTCCCAAAGTAGCTTTTGTTAATTTCCGCTGCATTCAGAATCCCAGGAAAACATCCTTGTCTGCCAAAAGGGAAGATGGCAAAGCGTGGAGGAGAAAATGCCAAACACTGGGTGGGTTGGACAGACAATGTAGAACATGAATAAATATCAGCCGGGGGGTGGAGGAAGGGCTCGCCTCCTTGCACAACACTCTCCATTACAAATGCTGTGCTTTCCTTCGGTTCAGGAAATACTACGCCTCATTTGGACAGTTGTTCATAGACTGCTGAAGAGCTCTGGGCCCTAATTGCAGGCACCCGCTCACTTCTCAGAGGAAAAAGAGACATTCATTTAACACCGGAAGCTTTGGAAATTAAGCAAAGAGGCTTACTTTCTTTATTCTTCCTCCCCCTGCCCTCTTTCCCTGTCCCATGTCCTTTGAACTGTAGCCAAACCAGCACAAAAACAGAGCAAATCCAGGGTACAATCTCTCATGGTGTTTATTAAACTATGAGCTTTCAATGGATGCTTAAAAGAATTGAGGCAAGGCCATGTTCATATTTGTGGCCATCATCATACTGATGAATGCTAAAGAAAGATGGGGTTTATGGAGAACGTGTTTGAAAAACCAACCCAAATAAAGAATTTGATGTTCCAAGCAGTTACACTTATATGATTTGATGGACTTTGAGGAATACTGCGGAGGTTGCTTGGCTGCTTCTGCTGGATAGTACAACGATGTCTGAATGAATATCCAGTTAGTTTGTACCATCAACTTTCTAAAATATAAGTTAAGAGATTTCAAGATGTCTATGGAGATTCTCTGTCATCCAGGTCATGGTTGTCCCAAAGGTGCTTTTTCAAGATTCCCCACCATCCAGTCAGAGCCAAAGAAGCTTCTTGGATAAGAAGCGAAACGGCTTCAAAGAAAAACCAGAAAGTCCAGTTGCCTCTTGAAAAAGCTCCTTTGGGAAAGATTTCAAGATGGGTACCCATGTTAGCGTACTGCAGCCAAAACAGAAGGATGTCTTCAAAATGAATACATTTATTAAGCTGTAAATTGTTATTTGAAACTTGAGTTCTGCTGTTTTACTATAATACTATGATCTACTATAACACTGTGTGTGTGTAGCTGCCTTTGAGGAAGAGTTGACTTCTGGCAAATACCTGGACTAGTCCCTACAGTTTTCTTGATAAGGTTTTCCAGAAGTGGTTTGCCATTGCCTGCTTAGGCACACTAAAGAAAAAAAAAGCAGGACAAGTTCATGTTTGGTTGAAATTAAGAGGCATCTGGAGTAAAATTTGGGTATGAAAACCTTTGTGGAGAAAATACAAAGCTGTGTAAGATTCAGAGAATTGGTCTATAATGGAATTGCAAATTTGTAGCAGGGTTCCTTATGTGGCAGAGAGGGCTGGCATTAGCAAAGCAGCTGCAACAAAATCTAGTTCCATTTAAAATAACTGTCCTTAAATAGATGCTATCCAGATCTCTTAAAGTAGATCTCTACATTTTATCACATTTTACAGAATATTCCTATAGGGTTTCTTTTATGAAGAATAATCCAAACCTACAATCTTTCATCTACAACCTGAACAAGTCCCTGAGGAAAAAGGAAATGCAGCATGTGGTAATTTCTGCTTTGGTAGGAAGCTTTTTATATAACTGCTTAGAATCACAGCCATAAAGTTATTGGCATAACAGGAAAATATTAGAGTCTTTATGGCAGTTCTTGAATTAACAATTCAACTATCAATATTATAGGAGCAGCAGTGCAAATATAGTCATCTGGGTTGATGTCATCAGGAGAATTTGGGTGATATTTCTATGTAGGTCTGCAAATTTGTACATTTAATTAACCAAGGACAAAAGTCAGTGAACAGTTGTTCCTATATGACCTAAATGTTTACTGTGACTCCACTGATTTGGATAGAACTATCTAGTGTTAATTTTAGACAATATTTAGTTATGAAGCTATGAGGATATAATTTATGAGTTATTCTGAGATAAATAAAACAGGTGCAAAAATAAAGACAAATATTCAATGAGATGACTGGAAGTCAATAGTGTTTACTTAAGAACCGTGGTGGCGCAGTGATTAGAATGCAGGATTGCAAGCTAACTCTGCACTCCATTGCCAAGAGTTCGATTCTCACTGACTCAAGGTTGACTCAGCCTTCTATCCTTCTAAGGTCAGTAAAATGAGGACCCAGATTGTTGGGGGCAATATGCTGATTCTGTAAACTGCTTAGAGTGGGCTGTAAAGCACTATAAAGCGGTATATAAGTGCTATTGATATTGCTAAGGCAATTTTCTGTGAATTCTATGAAACTATGAATCCTAAGGCAGCTCATAGTTTGAAGGGAGTATAGTATGGCAAAAGACATATCTGGTTTTGCCATTTTTCCACTGCAAATTATCCCTTTCAAGACACCTTTGCTATTTTACAAATATGGACAGCTGCATGTCTCTTAAATGCAAAACCAAACACAATGATACAGAACAGTTTTTGCAAAAGAGAAGCTATTGGTTCATATGTAGAATTCCATGCAGAATTACAGATGTCCTTTTTCCCTAGAAGATAAAAACTTGCCAAAATAAACAAATAACCAATACATCAGAGAATATCAGAATATGGTAGTTTAAATAAAAGAATGCTCTTCAACCTTTCGTAGAAACAAGATCAAATATCCTAATGCCCTATCTAACAGGAAAACCATCTGAATGAATAAATATGAATTTGGCCAGTGCTTAATGTTAGCAGGTCTGGACTGCAAAACCCCTTAAATTCACTAGATGGCAGCAAAGCATTAGATTATTCACTTCTCTTTGCCACCATCTACTGTCTACTTTTTTGCAGCCTAGATCTTGTAATTCCAATTTAACTTTCAACCTGATAGAATGACAGAAAACTGCATAGAAAACCTAAATCTGCCTAGATTTTTCACATTTAGCATGGTTTCTGGCAGTGATAGGATGTGTTGATTGCAAGAATAAGTACTTGACCTATGATTGTGTGTTCTTATTTTGCAATGGGCTTTTGATGTGTCCAACTGTTAGTGCCCTTGTCATATTACATCAAAGACTCATTGTCTTCCCTGCCTCCTTCATGTACTCTGCTGTCCCCTTAGTCAAGCTCTGAATCATTCACAGATGTCCATCACCTGCTTTGCTCTCATATCCTCCTGCACTGAGCAGGGAAGCTATAGAAATTACGTTGAAATATTGCAGTTTCTAAGGACGGACAATCTATTCATTATGTTTGATAGAAAATAACTTGTGTGCAAAGGATCACATCTGTATGTTCACATCAGATATATACCATTACAGTCCATTTTCAGTCTAAACAAACTTTATTTTCAGTATGTCTAATCCAGTGGTTCCCAATGTGGGGCCCACGCCCCACAGGGGGGCAATTTGATTTTTAATGGGGGCAATTTGGAACCTTGTTTAAACCAATTTAATGGCCTTTTAGGTTCCTCCATGTGTGTAGGAGTTTACTTTTTGAATAGTAAGAATTATATGTCACGGGGGGAGGGGGGCATCAGGATTTTAGAGATGCTTAGGTGGGGCATGGCCAAAAAAAGGTTGGGAACCACTGGTCTAATCCTACCTCATTCCAGCTTAAGTATTATAGAAACACAGATGCACACCCCATTGTTTCTTGCTTTGTAAATGTTCCAGTTTTGCACATTAATAGGATGGCACTATCTTATAGTATCTTTTAAAGAACTCACAGTCCAAAATTCATTAAGAAGATTCAACAGAAAATGAGTGGAATGAATCAAAGATATAAATAATAATGAAAGGAGTAGAGCATTGTTTCAATTATTTTATTTTATTAAATGTGTATGCTGCTTTTTCATTTTCCCAGGATGGCTTACATAATATTAAATATTTAAAAAAACTTTTAAAATAGTCATTAAAAATTAACAATATCTATTTTCATATAGCACCCATAGCCAGTTTAGTTAAAGCCTACCATACGGCATTCTAAACTTGGTTTCGGTTAGTTAATTTTGGTTTGGGGTTTTTAAATTATTGGCTAGCTGATAATTCAATGTATAAGTCAGAAAATATATTAAATCAATAATCAGGTTAAAAGCAACGTGTGAATCCAATGCATGTCCTTGAACACAATTGTACTCTAATTACAGTATGGTATAGGACCTAGTGTTGCTGTGTTCACAGAAAATGCCAACCCACGGTTAACTTTATTGAGTAAACCATGATGGATAGATTTTTCTACATGACAATCTGTTAGATGGAATGGTTAAATACTACTAAATAAACAGCCCACTTCTATCTTCTGTTGTCCCACATCCATTACACAATATTTTCTTTCCTGTATAATAGAGTATAAGATATTGAACCTATTCTCTATTTCCCTAGAGGACGGGACCGTAATCAATTAGTTAAAGCTGTAAGGATGTAGATTTAGGCCAGGTATCAGGAGGAATTTTCTGACTCTGTACACTATGCAGTAAACCAGTGGAATAGAAGACTGTCACTGGTGTATTCTCCTTTGTTTGATGTCCAGACAGAATATGGATAGTGGTGATCTCTCAGTGATGCTCTAATCCAGGAGTCTCCAACCTTGGCAACTTTAAGACTTGTAGACTTCAATTCCCAGAATTCCTCAGCAAAGCAAAGCTGGCTGAGGAATTCTGGGAATTGAAGTCAACAAGTCTTAAAGTTGCCAAGGTTGGAGACCCCTGCTCTAGTCTCCTGGATCTATGATACTGAGCTAGATGATTTCTGAGATCCCTTCCAATTTTGTAATTGTGTATATCAGGCCCAAGTCATTATTCCATATAGCCTAAACTAAATAGATATTTCCAAGTAAAGGTCACAACCTGATCAAAGGCTTGAGAATAATTGTGATGGTAGCACAGAGCCTGTAAATTAGTTGTAGGCCCAACCACTTCAGCAGGTTTTTATTGTTGCTGATCTCTGCCTAGGTTTTACTCCAGTGATGCTCACTTTTGGTGATAACCGTAGAAATGTAAGTCTGTTGGAAGAATGGCTAATAAATTTAAATAAATAAATAAACAAATAAACAAACAAATAAAAAAATAGCATCTAATGACAAGATTGTGAAAGGCTGAATTCAGTGTCTCCATCCTTGCAATCCTAAATGATATACTGAGATTTGGATTTATGGAAGTAAGGATGTTGCAATCATATCTAGTTAATTGTGTTTTTGTAAATCCCTAGTTCAGAGAAGTGAGGAAGAACCAAGAGAAGAAACAGTGTGCCTGATACCTTTTAAGTAAAATAAAATACACTGATTTTAAAGTATGCATCTTGGTTGCAGAATAATTTAATCTTGCCATAAGATGCTCCTTTATTTAAGAACACTGAAGTTGTTCTGAGAGTATTTTGGAGAATATTATCCAACAATCCTATGGCACCGTTGAAAGAAAATTAAAATGGCCTTTATCCTGCCCTTATTAACGAAGACTCCATGGTAATACATTTCAGCCAAATAGATTTTCCATGGAAACTTCACATCATTCAAAACACAACTCCACTTTTCGTCTCCTTTTCATCTTAGGAGAAACCCAACTCCTAGGGAATTCATGAGGGAAGACATGTAACCTTCATGAGTCGCAGAGCTGAAGTTTTGCACTACAGCAGGTTTTGTACAGATTTATGATCAGTTGTAAAGGTCACTTTGTTCAACATCTCCTTCTCTCAGCCTATCTTTATGAGACTAAGTTCAAGACTATGATATATACACCAAACTCTCAATGGGTTTTGCTGGATATAATCAGGGATGCTGATAGCTGTAGTTCAGCAATATTCAGAGACCCATAAATTCTTCACCCTGGTTATATGTCTTCCAAATATTTGTCATTTACCTTGATTAAGGTAGTTATTAACACATTATTAATTTAAACAGTCTCTGGGATTTAAAAAAAAATTAGAATAATAACTATTGTTATCCCCTCAGAAGAAATCCAGCATTTTCAGGCAATGATAGCCTTTACTTGCTATCATTTTGTCCTAATAAAAGTAAAATTCTCTGGTTCAGAGAGAATAATTTAACGAAGACCATCCTTTCACAGTTAAATTATAACCAATTACAAGTGATAATCTTTTACTTCTAGAAAAAAAGCTTGACTTGTTTCCTTCTTCATCCTGGGTTCCTCTCCACTTCCTGCCTGTGCCTGTGGTGAGCAGGTATAATCTGAAATGCATTGTATCCATTGGGCAAGAATTTCTCTTAGTCTGGTTTCCTTTCAGAATTCTCAGGCTTGAATTAGAGAATAATTTTTACTCGGTGTAATTAAATGTGCATGATCTCCAAAGACTGATGACTTGAGTCTAGGTCTTGAAATATCAGGCTACAGGAGGCCTATATCTGCTAATTATAGATTAGATGCACTTGCTCTTTTTAATTAAGATTTTCTTTCTTGAGGTAATTTTAAAGCCCCACTTTTATAATCTTGATGTGAGAAGTACCTAGTTTTCATTTATTAATGCAGTATCCCCTAACCTGTTGTTCTCTATACGTTAGTCCTATCTACATGGAAGATATCAAGCTGCTGGACAGTCTATTAATAGTTAGAACATTAATATTAATGGTTGAATCATTAATATTAATTATTGATGATTGCATAAAAAATTGCACATGATTATCTCCTGGAAATATAAGGCACAGCTTCCACTTTGTATGTCTGGGGTCAACACAGAAACATTCTTCTCATCAAATAATTGGCATTGAAATAAGCATAACTCTGCTTGCTTCCATTTTTCCCAAAGGCATTTTTGTCATCCTCTTTGAAACAGAGATGGTGTTTTCTATAGCTCTTCAATCAATCAATCAATCAATCCTTAAATTTGATGTTAGGAAAGATCATCTTATTGTTTATTAGTAAGGCCAAATAACATGAGATTAAGTCAAATTCAAAACATAAAGCTGGCCAAGGACAAATAACATTATCCCTCTCTTCCCCAACTAAAGACACAAAGTTGTTGATGACACATACTAGAGGTTAGCAGAGGAAACTCTTACCTCCATGAAGGGCACAAGGCGACAGGAGAAGTTTCCCAGCAGTCTCTTCTTGGTAATTTCATTGAAGATGACCACAGGAAGGCAGAAGAAGAGGATGAGGAAATCCCAGAAAGCAAGACTGGCCAAAATGGAATTCCAGGCACTTTTCATATAGTAGTTATGCCAGACAATGCACATGACTGAGAGGTTCCCAACGATGCCCACAGCAAAGACAATGAGGGACAGGAACATGACAGCATAAGCGCTATAAGAGCTTTCTGTCACTGGATAGAGAGGGTTCTGTATCTGAAAACGCTTTCCTAGTGCCGCAGTTCTATTAACCTGGGCCTCTCTATTACCGTAGACAGCTGGGCTCTGTTGGTGGGGTTCAAAAGGATCTGTGCTGGATGGTGCTGGAGGCTTTGTTGGCTGTAAAGTGGCTGGTTTCGCAGGTCGAGGAAATTCTACTTTGACTCCTGGAATATATTGCTGAACTGACTTGGCATCATCATCTTTCGTTCCTCTACGTGTTCTTCTCCACCTCAGCTGTTCTTCTGAGAACTGTTGCTCTTCATGCTTGGCAGTTAGTCCTGAGTCTCTCATCCTGCCCAGTCCTCCAAGTAACTCCATCAGGATGCCTTGGGAGTTGATGTGTCTTTTTAAGTGATCTTCTCCAGCCTTTGCATCCATTCTGGAGGGTACACAGTTTTCTTCAATATACGGGACAGCTCCTTCTTTCATCAGGGTTTCCAGTGGCTGCAGAAAACTAAGCAAAAGCATACCTGTCCAAGGGAAAGACATCCTTCTTTCTGCACAACAAGAGGTAAAGAGAAGAGACGCAGAGAAAGCAATTCACCGAATGAACAGAGATGTCACTGCCCTCAGTGAAAAAAAGGAAAAAGTTTCTTCACTTTGACTTGTGGTCTTAAAAGAGGGCCGGGGGCATGGAAGAGAGTAAACGAGGAGATTGGAGTTTTAGTCCAGCTTGAGCGACGACAGAGAGACACTTTGGTCTGCTTTGCCAGCTCACTGCTGCTGTTTATTCCCTCAGATCTCTGGGCAGAATTAAAAAAGGAAAAAAAAAATCAGTAATTCATTTCAATCCCCTTTTGTTGGACCACAGGCCCCCTGGTGGCCGAGCTACAATGCCTACCAGGTCCTGTGAAAGGATGAAAAGCCTCACAGGCCTTGAGCCAGGGAAAAAACTGTGAAAAAAACCCACCTGCTTTAGCCATAGACCTTTGTGCAGACAATTCTATTTGTTTTTTGTTTTGTATATTTCCTTTTGTGGTAAAGAGGGTGTATTTCAGAAAGAATCAGCAGCCTCTCACTGAAATATTTCCCTTTGGCCAAACTCTAGGGAAATCCACATGGTAACCTCTAAAGTCAATTTATGGGTTTTTATGGAGATCCTAGAAAGATGTTTTGAACAAGGAGAAAATAAAAGAGACACTCATGTGACAATGCAATAGGTTTCACAGCTGTCTGTGAGGGAACCAGAGGTGGGTTTCAGCAGTTTCTGACCAGTTCTGGAGAACCGGTAGTGGAAATTTTGAGTAGTTCGGAGAACCGGTAGTAAAAATTCTGACTGGCCCCGCCTCCATCTAGTCTCTGCCTCCCAAGTCTCAGCTGATCGGGAGGAAATGGGGATTTACAGTAATCTTTCCCCAGGAGTGGGGAGGGAATGCAGATTTTACAGTATCCTTCCCCTGCCACACCTACCAAGCCACGCCCACAGAACCGGTAGTAAAAAAATTTGAAACCCACAACTGTTTCACATCTGTCTGTGAGGGAACAGTTCAGAAAATCAAGCAAACATGCCGGGACTGTTGGCTGAGTGAACCAAAGAACCTTTAGAAAACTTGTCTTTAAGCCACATGTTCCAAGAATATTTACTTTGTGTACATATTACAGCATTCTACCCTGTCACTTTTTCACAATGTTGGATCTTCAGTTTTTCTTACATTACTTTGCTTTCAAAGTAATGTAATAATTACAATTGGATTAAGATTGAGAATGACTCTGGTTTATATCCTGTTCCTGATGCTGCCATGAGAACTGAATTCTGTCTCTGGATAGGTTCAATCACTATCTGACAGCCTAAGCCACGGGTATCAAACTCGGGGTGTCACGTTGCTGTCACATGATGTTTCGTGATGTTTTTCCCATTTGCGGAGCTGGGGTGGGCGTGGCCTGCGCGTGACATATCCAGCCCATGGGCCACCAGTTTAACACAACCCAGAGAATTACTATGTGGATAACATTAGAGAAGCAAATATGGAACTAATGGTAGAAAGGTGAGATATAAATCCACACATAAAAAATATCAGCCTCCGTTGCTTGGTGTTATGGGTTTCTCTCTCTTGGCTTTACATATGGTAGTATAGCTAAACTATCGAAATGCAATTGAGATGCCTAATCTAATTGGGGAAAGATCGAGATGTGGTAGAGACAGTGAGCTCTCACTCTGTCGCAATAAGGCTTACTTTAACTTTCTAGATGTCTTAAGAAACTATTTACATCTATATGGCATTTTCATCTCTCCTTTTGTCATTTTGCTTCAAGAAATGTCATCCGTGTTCTGTATCCAGTCAATATGCTCTGTATTTTAAAACTGAATTATATGCTAAATATTTTCCTCTTCTGTTTAAATTACTTGCTTCTTAAAGAACCACACCAAGAAAAATTCTAGTTTTGTATTGTGATCCCCGAATATTGTTGTATCTGGCAGCTGAACCAGTGTGTTTTCAGCCCAGCTGTTGTGCAACCAGAAATAATGTAAGTATGGTTTTCCAATTGAATCACTGGAACTTCTCACAGCTTGTGGATGAACCAATTTTCTGCATTAAATTATAGTTCTTGTCATTCCAACTAATGTTGCTATTGTCTGATCTGAATTTTTATGTGACACATCTGAAATGCAACAGGCTGGACAAAAGTGCTGTGAATAGAATAGACAGACATGGATTTTTCAAATTCTGTTCCTTCTTGCTGCGTAGCGTATAGAGCAATCAATGGAATTTTTTGTGTGTGTGTCACTTGCATGATTTCTTTCAGGAGGCAAAAGATTGCACTGGTTTCAAAGCTCTTTGATTCCCACAGTACAGAACTGGAAATGGCATAATAAACACACACAGAGAGACGGGGGGGGGGGGGGGGGGGGAGAAAGAAAGATCATTCCATGTGATCATTTAATTATATCATCATTTTTTTGGAAAATAGACTTAGTCTCTAGATAATGTCCAATTTGCTGGCTGGGCCCAGGACATCATAGATGCTGTATTATCCTCGATTGGACAAAACCAGTAAAATGTAGTCCAATCTACATTCTATAAAATTGGAGATAAGCAACAGAAAGCAACAAGGCAAGAAGAATAAGGATTAAGAAGGGTCTGCTTATAGACATTCAAGCACAAGACATAACGTCGTGTCAATCTCTTTTTGCAATGTACACACCTGAAACACAAAACCTTATTTACAGTGCTAATAATTACCTAGAATGACTGAATTGATTTTATTTGGAATGCTGTGTGTGTGCAATTGTTGCCTTTTCTCATTTTCCTACAACAAAGGTAAGGCATTTAATAGTTTTACCCATCAATGTTTTCATTTTATTGAATCCAACTGTAATTCAGCCCCTCTTTTAGTTCAGGGATCATGTATGATTGAACTTTCCCCCTTTTCCTTAGACTTTAGCAGGCACTCTGACCAGTATACTCCAGATAACAACTCACTGTCCATGATCATATCAAAGAGTTTCTCTGGTGGCTGGGCTTAAACAAGATGATTGCATCTCTCTGATTTGGCAAAAAAATATTCATTACCATGTTTTCCTCAGGGATACATGATCATGGTTACCAGCCATCTAGCCACAAGCCACATGCTGCTGATAGCCTTCAGAAATCCCACAGCTGCTTCACCATGGAGTCAGATCCCCCAGGCATTGAACAGGATGTAATCCAGCAGCATGGATGCCCAATCCCGGTTCCTCATTATTTTTTATTGGAACATCATTATGGTGGATCTGATTCAATGGCTCTTCCAAGTATGTGTCTATGGAGATTCTCAGTCATCCAAGTCATAGTTGTCCCAAAGATGCTTTTTTCAAGAGGCAACTGGACTTTCTGGTTTTTCCTTGAAGACGTTTTGCTTTTCACCCAAGAAGCTCAGAGCTGGAGAAGCTTCTTGTCGAAATGTCTTCAAAGAAAAACCAGAAAGTCCAGTTGCCTCCTGAAAAAAGCACCTTTGGGCTCTTCCAAGTACTCTCTCCCCCACTGCCCTATTCCATCCACAATTCTCTTAGCAGACATCCCTTTGGCAACTCTGCTTCTGGAAGTCAAAGGGAACAAAATTAAGGAGAATCATCTCAAACACCCAGAATGTTACAGTAACACAGAGTTCAGTTCACAAGAACACAGCTCTAGCCATAAGAATTTTTCTTGTTATATGTGTCTTCATCCACACTTCTGTTCTATGGCTCAACTAGCTAAACTCATTCTTCCTCAGCAGTGAATTCACCTATGACATGAGTAAACTAGCCTGGATAATGCTCCATTTTCATCCAGAGGTATAATAGCCAACATGCCCACTAAGAGACACTAAACTCTGCTTTTACTGGAACAAATCAAGTACAAGTACAAATCAAGGGTGGACATTTTTAGAAGAGGTTTTAGTTGATATCCTAATAGAACTAAAGGGCAAAAAGATACTATCTCTAAACAACAGAAAACATGAAGAATAGAGCTCCTCTCCTGTGAGGCTCTGGCAACCTTATTTATTCCTTTCATCCCCAAAGAGATTGTTGAGACACAACAAACATTTAACATCCTACAAAGGGGAGAAACCTTAAAACTACCTGTTAAGAAGATTGTATTTGAGATACGTATCAAAATCTTTTGTACCAAATCTAAGGCTCAAGTCAACAGTAATAAGATATGCTGTCCTGATTACTTTGAAGTCCTGTTTTCAACTGTATACATAGCCCAGATTATCTTCACCTTCCTTATGTTCACATCACCAACATACTCATGCAATCCCACTGTTTTCCTCCTATTTATTGATTGAAACTCTTGAAGGCATCATAATAAACATATCAAGATGGCATTTTGGACTGACTATGAAGCAATCATTCCCTAAGCAATACAATTCTACATGTTATTTAACCATTAACAAAAGCTTTAGGAGATATCAGTCCTTGTAAATGACAAGAGTTGATCATATGATCCAATCAGGCCATTTATGGAAGTGAGAAGGGCAGTTTTATTCTCCAAATAATATACCTTCCCGCATGGAAGAACCCTGGCATAATGGTTGCATTATGACAGATGTACAGTGACTTTTGCAGTTGCTCAACATTCAGATAATTAAAGCCTTGGTATTATCTCAGCTAAAGCCTCAGGCACTCCCTGTCCTAGCAAGAATCAGAGATGGAAATCAAACCTTAAATACATATGAATTACAAAACGGTTGTATCATGAAGATTAACTGAAGCTTTTAAAATGGCACTGACATGGAGTTTTACTTTGCCATCTGAATGAGGCAGCATTTTTATAAATTATATGTGGTATGGGGCCAGATTACTTGCAGGACTGCCTATCTTTAGTGATCTTTGTTTGTCCCACCAGATCTGGAACAGTAGACAAGCTCTGGAGCAGGATATTAGTGGAAGCCCAGTATGTGTGTCTGAGTAGAGAGATTTTTTTTACAGGGGCTTTAACTTACAGTAGCTCATATAATTGATTCTAATTGTCTATTTTTATCTTCTGTTTGTCACCCAGAGAAGATAAGTTTTCCCCTTAGATTAAGGGGGGAGGGAGATTTATTTTACATTATTTTATACTGAAGTTTTGGAGGAGTTTTCCATCAGATAAATGATTACTTGCAGTCAGGTTTGTAGGAGAAAGGTTTGGGGCTGTGCACTGTACAGCTCTGCCTCATATTTACTTTATATATATATCTTTCAGGAAGAACTACTTGAACAGAATCAGTGGACAAGCCTCTGTTAAACACCTGCAATAAGACCGTTTGGCTACACCAGTTGCCTTGAGTTTGTATCTTTTCACTTCTGCTTTGAAT